CGAACCGCCCGACACTAAAGTTTTCTATGGTCCATTTTTTAGTTCAGACGGTTTTTTTTTCAAAATTTTCAATTTTACGTATTGTTTGACTTGGTTTGATATGGGTTTTGTTGGTCGGGTTCGGGTTAAAATATTTGAACTCGTCGGTATCTATACCCGACCGACACATAATAATTAAAATTTAAAAGGTATGTTATTACTTATTAGCTAGTACTGCGACCACGAGAGTAGGAGTTAGAAAGTAGAAACCCTAAGCGTCGCGAAACCCTCTCCTCATGCCTGTAGAAACTAAAAACCCTATCGCTGCCTATCCTGTCAGGATCATCCCTCTTCATTGCAACCCCTGTTTTCCACATTGTGCCATCATCTCCACAATCCAACGCATTCCCAGGTACTCCACATTTCTCTTCTCACAAATGGGTCTCAATCGTTTTCCACAATTTTCAAACTTTTTTTTCCCTTTAAACAAATTCCTTAATATTTGCAAATGGGTAATGTATTGCCCATCTTACATTAACACAACGGTTCCGACAATGACATTTTTTTCCTTTAATGTTTGATCAAACATTATCGCTGGGCAACTTAGAGATTGTGGGGTGTTGTTGAATGAAGTGAAGTTTAGTGTTTTTCATCCAAGATTGAATTTTTCATTATGGGTAATGATTGATTCGTTTATTGTGGGTGTTGAGCTCAAATGGGGGTTGTTTGTTTCGTGTGTTGAGCTCGGGTTATGGCTCAATCCGACTAATCCGATCCAGTTAATCCGAGACCCGAAAACCTGAACCCGATAAATCCGAAATACTATTACAGTCGAAAATAGGCTATTTTTTTTTTTGGATCGATTTAAATTGAGCTAAATATTTTTTACCCAAATCCGTCCGAACCCGCCCGTGCTCAGGCCTAGGAAGTACTACTCTACATTCTTTAATTTTTACGAAAACCAATGTAGGACATCTAAAGTTCAGAAAGAAAAAAAAAACTATTATTTTGTACACTATCATTGCGGTAAAAATTTACATATGAAGTTGCATAACTATTTACAATGTGGCACTAATATACTAAACACTTGAAACAGTCTTGAACATTTTAAAAGAAAACACAAAAAATAATTGTGATGAAGTTCGTCCTACCTAGGGGTGTTCATGGATCGGTTTTTTCAAAAAACCGATCTAAACCAAACCGAACCGTTTTATAAAAGTGGATCGGTTAACCGATCCATTTTTTATAAAGTGGATCGGTTTGGTTTTCTTAAAATATGGATCGGTTTTTTTAAAATTGGATCGGTTCGGTGCGGTGCAGTTATCCACTTTTTTACTCATATATGAATCGGTTTTTTTAGAAAATCAAATCGAACCGAACCGATCCACTTTGTAAAAATGGATCGGATAACTGAACCGGATTTATAAAGTGGTTCGGTTTGGATTTTTTTCAAAATGGATCGAATTTTTTAATATGGATCGGATCGGTTATGGATCGGTTCGAATAAATTCGGATTTTTTGCACACCCCTAGTCCTACCCATGCGGGACTAATTCTTGTTACTATAGAAACAACAAAATCTTTATAGAAAATATAACATAATAAAAAAAGATATTAGTTCAAATTACATAATAGAAGTTTTATTTTAAATCAACAATAATATAATCTATTAGACTTTATATTTATTTAATTTAATTTATATATTACGTCTCAATGACATAACATAATATTATATAATTTGTCTTAACTTCTATTGTGTTATTTGTCTTAAATATTAATAATTTTATATTATGAATAAATATTATATTGTTTTTTTATAATCACTTAATGTATTACATTATAATTTTAAAAATATTATTAGCTCTTAATATACAATAGGAAGTTTTTATTTTTTTATTTTTTATTTTTTTTATAAAGTTTCAAGTATTAACAAAAATATAATATGTTAAATTTTATGTATGTTGATTTAACTTATCTATACTCTATCATGTCTTGATGCCGTAATACAGTGTTATATAATTAGTCTTAATTTCTATTGTATTGTTTGCCTTAAATATTAATAATTTTATATTATGAAATGAATATTATATTATTTTTATAATCAATTTTACACTATATTATAAATTAAAAAATTATCTAATTATTTTTTATTCAACCATGAGATTTGAAATTAAATTTTAAACGTATTATTACAATGATCCAATTTTTAAAACATTGATAATTAAGGAAGAGAGGGATAACGATGAAGAATTGTCTAGACGCTTTGGAAAAACATGAATCTGAAAAGTAATTTCGGAATGGATAAAAATAATAAAATTGCACATTATCGAGAATTTGATGAAAATATCTTATGTAAACGATATAATTGAACGTAACATTGACATTGTGATGAAATGAAGAAAAAATTTATAATACTTTTGATAAAATAAAGAAAAAGAGGGAGAGAAGATGAAACTAAGCTATAAAATTCAAGTTTAAGCTTAATTTAAGCTGTCTTAACCCAAATTCTTACTTTTCCATGATGAGTTGGACTTGCTCATTGACCTGATTTACTTTTTAATTGGTAAATTTATTAAATAAACTTAATATTACATTTATTATTATTAATAATAATGTTATTATTATCAATTTTAAAATTAGTATGTTATGTGAATTTTCTTATTAATTTCTAATACTTGTTTATTTTAATGTATTAAGTTTTAGTAATTTGATTATCATATTTTTGAAAAGTTAGTAGTCTATAAACTAATTTTTTTGACCTATGGCTCATCAAGGACTGGACTAACAAAATGTTAGATCACTATTACATTGACGATCCAACTTGAAAATGCTTGTCGATAATGAGTTGGACGTGCTTGGTTATCAAAATTATTTTGTTATAATTGGTAAGATAGAATTTAGTCATGATTAATGATATTTTAATTAAAATTAAAGTTTTATCTCAATAATGTCTGTTTTAAAATTATTATTCTACGTACAACTAATTTTGTTTTTAATTTCTAAGTTCTAACACCCATTTTTAAATCGATGTACAAATGAAAATACACATAGTGATTAAAAAAAACTTTATTGACTTATCATAAAGAAATTAATTTATTTTTTATGGTTTAAATTTTTTATATTTTTTTGAAAGGTTAGCGGCCCATGAACTCATTTATTTGAGCTAAGGCTCGCAAAGAATAGAATTGGACTCGCAAAATTACGACCCAACTCAAAAATGTAATGGGCAATCCAAATGGGCCAGGCTAACCCAAATTGTTTGCTCTAATAAATTTTCACGTCAATTTTGCGATGCATCAGTGTAGAGGATACCAGAGGCAAAAATAAAAAATAAAAATTATATATATATATATATTTATATATATATATATATATGTACAAGAGAAAGTCACTATATAAATACAGTCAGCCCACACAATTCATGAAAAGAAAGTCCAAAACTTTTCAATATGAGGAGAGTTAGCTATCTGATTGAGAGGGCGTTCGTGGATTTGAAAAATCCAAATTAAATCAAGCCGATTCTTTTAATAAAGTATATCAGTTTAGTTTTTAAAAAATATGGATAAAACTTTTCAAAATTGAATCAATTCGATATTCGATACAATTTTTTACTTTATACTTACATAAATCAATTATTTAAAACATATTAAACCAAACCATAAATTAAATAATCACAATTTTACAAAATGGATTAATTCGAACTTCTTCTCAAAAATAGATCAAATTTTTTTAATATAGATCCGATCCGAATTGATCGATTTGGATTTTTTTTTCACTCCCCTACCTGAATGCGACTTAATAGTTAATTGCCTTTTCTGAGCCATGACTTATTTTGACATCCCACATTTTACTACACAGAATTGAATACATCGCACAATATAATGGTAGAAGTTTGAAGATGGGCACCGCTACCGCGTACAAGCTCGGTGAACAACAAAAGTTAGAAGAGTAACTTTCGATTAAACTACAAAATTGCCACAGGCAATCCTGCAAAATTGAATCATTCATTATTGAGGTCCGAATCTGTGGATGGAAAAGTGACAGAGGTGTGTGAACTCGACGAGGAGTTGGATGTCAGGCACAGCAGAATTCTCAGTGGCAGTGCCGTGTGAATTATGAGGTTATGAGCAGTTGTGTAGTTAACGGTGAGAATATGATTATATGAACTTCAGGTTGACATTGACTATGGTCCAACCTAAGGATCTAAGGCTGATGGCAACGACGCTTGGGACTTGCCAATTAGAATGCAAGAAAACCACTTCTATTGATCTCAAGTCAAAAACAAACACAACATCAAGCTGCTGTCGCTGGGCAGCGGCCAAGCACATTAGTTTGGATAAGGCGCAAAGTGGCGGTTTTCTTGGTGAAACAACATGTGGGTTTAAATAAACTTGTCAACATACAAGATAAATTAAATCAAATTATTTTTATATATCTCAACTTTTGATGTTAAATAAGACAACTTCGAAAAGATTAAAGTACATGAGTTAAAATTAGTTGGATTTATCAAAAGTAGGCTATAGCAAATAACTTCCATAACCCCTTCCCAACCAATTTCACCATTTTGACTCTAACAACATTAATCATGTTAAAAATTCTTGCATTTGTCACCAAGGCAACACTTCTCAATTTTTGGATGGTAATGGGATGTTGAAAACTTACTTGATACCCAGGAAAGAGAACAACCAACAAAGAGAACAAAGCAAAGAAAATTATAATTGAATTTTTTTGACACGAAGTCAGGAAGAAACATTTGTGCGCAAGCATAAATCACACATATTGGTCATTTCTTTCAAATAGACACATATAGTCGATACAAAGTTATACTATCAAACCCCTAACCAAGCTCTACAACTAAATCACAGAGAGCAGATCAAAGCACAATGAGTATTGCATCCTCGATCATATAAAAAAACCCCATATTCTATTCGCTAGGATCAAAAGCAGATGATAAATACAACATATCAGAACTAATAAGAAGTTTTACAGCATGCATTGAAAATTATTGGCACAGAATAAACCTGCCGAGAAATAATGTGACCTCGATTATGGAATATTGAAGCTACTATCAAAGAACATCCAAATATCTCGTCTCTCTACACGATCATTATAAGGATGATACATAGTTTGGATGCAATACTAGCCTTAACTATGTGCTAATCAATATCTCAATCTAGAATCTTATTTCATCCACTATACCATTACGAAATTAAATATAAAGGATATAATCACTAAGACAAACCATAAATAAAAACATAAATATAATTACAGCGGAATTAGATATGAGATGATAAATTATTATATACAATAATATATTTACAGCAAATGCACAAATAAAGAGGGATGCAATGCGCAATTAGCAATGATTTACGAGGATTTGACCTATGAACATTGTTTAAAAGGGTACCAAATCAGCAAATTGGAACCAATCTGGCGGGAACCTTTTCCCTATCGGAATCCACAATCGACCCAGCTGCAACAATTCGAACAATCTTCTTGAGCGCAAAATGCACGCAATTCGATAGCATAATCCACGACAGCACTTGATAAACGAAATCAAAAGCAGGATCTGGCACCGAAGACGAGGGTTCATCCCAATTGTTCCCGCCCCCAAATCTATTGAAATTCCAACCACCGCCGCCGCCGCCGAAGCTTCCACCGCCAAAAGGACCGTCGCCGCCGTCGCCGAAGAGGAAACCCTCGTTCCCGGCGTCCCCGGAGTCGTCACCCGACAACCTGCGTCGGGTGCGTTGTTTTCTCCGAAGAAGCGTCCGGCGTCGTAGCCGGTACGCAGTGGGCTTAACCGGCGGCGGCGCGACAGCGTCGTAGGTCTGGATCATGGCGGAGATCGGATCGGCGGCGGAATCGGCGACGGAGAAGTGACACGTGGATTGAATGCCGCGAAGCACGCCAAGACCCTTGGCGGCGGTTACTGCGACGGTGTCGGCGACCATCATCATAGTGACCATCGTATATTCTACGCGACTGGGTCTTGGGAGAGGAACACGGATCTGCCAATTATTTTCTTTCTTTTTCTTATTTGAGATTTGAGATTAGAAGAAACAGAATAGAAATTGGTATTGGCTTACTTGCGTAGCGTCCTGCGATATTATGGAGGCTGCACCAACGCTAACGTGTCGCTTTGACCACTAGATTTGATTCCACGTTTTTTCCTTTTCGGAAAACGTATTGGTGGTGTACCGAATTTCAGTGACAGAGTTGGGCTTCTGCGGATTTTGGGCCGTTTTGGTTGCTTATTGGACCAAAACAGACATACTAGTTCCAAAGCCTAGTTGATTTTCGTTCTTTGACCCTCTTTCGTCTTTCCGGTTTGACACGACTTGGGTCCAAAAGTGAGTCTGTGTAGGAATATAGGATCTGCCTCGATGTGGGACTTCGAGACCATAGTCCTTGAAGAAAAGCTAATTTATAAGGTAGATGAGATTCAAGATTAATTTATCAAATATCTATACTATAATTCGAGGGTCGATAAGTTGCTGGAAACAAAAGCTCAGCATGAGGTTTCATACATCATAATTGGCTTTGAAAATCAACAGTCTTTATAGCAATTAGCAAGAGAAAACTTCGTAGCATTCATGAGAATGTGAGGGTATTACGCTATCCTGACCACTTTTCCACTGGCATTTACCTGTGGTACGCAAATTTTAGAAGACAGTGATATATCTTTGTTTTACTAAGAAATTAAGAAGTTATCTTTTTTTCAAGTTTGTATCAATTATACTATGAATTTGATGGTTTCTTACGTGTGTTCATTACTACATGCAGGTCGCAGCATGAAAACATGTGTCATTTTTTATCACCAGATTTGCTTTGGAGATCTGGACATGTGCTTTGGTCGTTATGACATATGAATTTAAGGTGGGGGATTTCCCTCCTCTGATCTTGCCTGGAAAGGATTATCGTAACCTAGGTGATTTTTGAGTTTATATAGAAAATAAAATCATAAGAATATATATGATCACCAAATTGCAGTTATGTTCCATAAAGTGCATTTCCCATAGGCTTTATGTCAGCTAGTGAAACATAAAATTGCCTACCCAAATTCACTTGGATGCTTTATATGATTGACCTCCCACTTCTGTACTTGTGTAAGCATGTTATGACTAAGAAAACTACAGGGTATGGTAGATTTTGCACTTGCTGTGTATTAATCCTTCATCATTGCTTGGTTAAAAACTATCTGTCATTTTCGATAGAATTCATGTATTCGTGTTCAATTTAATCTGGCAGGGATTTTGAACCAAATTCATGGGAAGATGCGATGAAAGATGAATTGGAATGTGGAAAATGTCCTTGTATTTTCTTTGCATTTTGAAGTGGAGAGATTCTTGTATGACATTATTCAAATTCTACTCTATATCAGGCATATCCATCGTTTTATACATTCTTTGTTGCACTATCTTTTTTATTGATAAATTGTTTTGATATCACTAATTTTATTCTTTCTTCAAATTCCTCCCACAAATCAAGTATTAAAAAATAATTTAAATTTTCAAATTCAAATATTTGATATATTATTTAAATTTTAAAAGATATTAATTCTTTTAGGATATTATTTTCTCTTTTAAAATTATAATGTTAGATTAATAAATAGAGACTCTTGAAATGAAAAAAAATAAAATTATTTGATTTGTAGAGGAGTTATGGTCTTAAATAAGAAGGGAGGTCCTATAACGGAAGATTTTCAAGTTTCGCTAGAAAACTTGTGAGGAGGAGGTTTTAAAGTTTACCCATAAAACTTGTAAAAAAAATATTTCTAAATTTTATCCATAAAACTTGTAAGGAAGGATTTTCAAGTTTTACTTACAAAATTTCAAGAATTTTTTTTTACAAATATACATGTAATACATTTTAAAATATTAAATATCCTTGTGAACATAAATATAGTGTTGAAAGTAATAAAATAAACAGTTAAAATAACTCACTCTATCATACACTCATCATAAAAGAGAGAACTTTCTAAAGTTGATTTTTGATTCAACTTACACACGTAGAAAGCAACTGATTATATATGTTTTTCATAAGCAAATTCACATATTACAAAATATATTAAAAAAAAAAATCAAAATAAGTAATCTATTGGAGGTCTTGACCGGAGAAGCAATGAGACAATTAAAATATGCAACTTTAATTGCAATACACAATTATCCAATATTGTAATATAACTTTTCTTTAACACGAGAAATAATTATTGTTGAGTTTCTTTAATATGAAGAGTGTTGCAATAAATAATTTTTGTGTGATTTTTTCTATTTATTTATAATATTAACTTATTTGTGCTCTTTCATCTTTATCTGTAAAAGAATTTTTTTGTTACCAATAGTGGTATTAGAGCTGATGATTTTTTGACCAGATGACCATCTCAAAGTCTTAGACGAGTATTTGGTAACCGAAAACAAGATTCAAGTGTAGAATCCCTTGTGTCAAAAGTCTTTTACATAGTGTGAAAGTCAAGCAACATGTCGTGTTAACATGAATTAATGACGATACAAGTATCTAGAACTGACAAGTATAACTAGAGTTCTAAGGATCATTATAGAATACTCTCACAAATGAAAAAAAAAAATAAAAAAGATTTCAGCCTAAAAGAAAGGTTAACTCGTGAAATTTTGTTTGAAGAGATATTTGTTGGGGGTAAAAAAAGGAATGATGATACATCTCTCTTAGTAGATGGTGATGGATGATGGCAACTACTTTCTTTACAAGATCCCATTTTATAATAAAGACCAATATTATACATTCATAAATGTCTTAACTTTACACTTACATCTCATAGCAGGGTATTTCAAACGGAAAGATTTTTGAAATTTCCTTCTTGAGTTTCCTATATTGACAGTTGAAAATTTGGATTGATTTTCTAAAGGAACGTTTGTTTCAATGTATCAAATTGCATTCCTAAGAATCACATTCTCAAAAATATTTTTACCGAAATATTATTCCCAGATTTAATTAGAAAATACATTTGATTATATCATGATAATCTTTAGAGTATATCTTAAAAATTAAAATATATTAAATAAAAATTAACTAAAAACAAAAGTTATAAATGTGAGTTTTGGTATTTGATAAGTGAAAATCGAAAAAAAAAATTATTTGTAGGTCAGAATGGCCCATTCTGCTTGCAGAGCGGCCCATTTTGATTCTATTTTTTATGTGCTAATTTTGATTTTGGAACGACCTGTTCTGATCCATTTTTCATGTGTTATTTTTAAATCTGGAACAGTTTGTTCTGATTTCAGAACTGTCCGTTTTGAACGTGAACAGTAAATAGTGCTAGTTGAGAAAATAAATTTACACGATTGTTATTTGGGTAAAAAAAATTTAAATAATATTATTTGTGTAAAAAATTCTAAATGTGATGGGATGTAATTTCTAATATTTTTACGGGAATATCATATTCCACACCCGCGAATAAAATGTTAAGAAACATTATAAAAAAATTATTCTCTAGAATGAACAACACCTGATAATAAATTTTTTTAACTTGAAATAAAAATGTGAATCTTACATTCTCATGTTAACATTTTGAAAATGCAATTTGATACCTCGAAACAAACTTCCTTATCGATTTTTCATTAAATATGATGTCTAATTATACAAAACATCATTAGAGATTTTTTTTTTTCAAATAGGGTTTATAATTTATTAGTTGCAGAATTCCTTTCTACATGTGACTAGAGAGAGAGGATAAAAAAGATTTTTTTTTTCTAGTAAAATTTATAATACTAACAACAAAATTTAAATATAAAATTATGTGTATATTATTTCAATCCTATTAAAAAAACTAGTTAAGAAATTATTGTAAAACATGTATATTCATTTTTAAAAAGGGCATGTATATGTAACTTTGTTGTATAAAATTCATTATCGTTTATAAATAAAAAATAACTATCAAGTCAATCATATGTATTGAAGTTTACTTTCTGGTTATATTTATTTAATTAATTTTAAGAAAATATATCAATTAGCATGTCTTACTCTATTCCAGCCCCACCAATCCATTATGTATCATTCCCTTTATGGTATTGGTAGACGACAATATATTGTTGTCTAATGGTTCGTTATACGTGTCAACGTGATTTAGGATATTGCAATCATCAATCAGGTCTCCACCCAAATCCATGAATGTTTGCTTGTAATTTACTAAGTCTGTGGTGGGTCATAAGTTATAATACCACAAATGTCAACTTTTATTTCTATTGCATATCCACAACGAGTCATACTCAAAAAACCTACAACACATTTTAGAACAAAGAGAGACATATAAATAGAAGAGAAAAAAGTGTAAGATAACATATATAATGTGATGGAAAATGGAAGAGAATGAAAAGAACTGTAGAAAGATATTATAAAAAAAAATGAGTATGATTAGCATCACTCGTATAGAAATGTGCACCTATATTGACCCTTAACATCATGGGGCCCTCCAAAGACAACTGGGCAAGCGATAGCCTTGTGTTTGATACATTCTATAGGAATGTGTTATTAAAATATCTCAACCGTTTCTTCTTTTAAAGTTTTCAGCCAATTTGAATTCGTGCTTAATACTTTAATCAAAGATCGAAGATATTTACCGGAAAAAACAGAAAGAGAAGTTGAAGATCATTTTATTCAAAGCCACCCACTAACTACAAGCGAATTGCAACCACATAAATAAGTTATTTAATTCCCTATGTACTTGTCAATTCGCTATAATAATAGTTGTTAAATACCGACCTCCTCTGACAATAATATTGTTCTTTTTTCAAATAATTTTTGTCAGTTCTTGTTTTACAATGTCCTCGAATTAAATCTAATTGGTGCAATCTGTTTATACGAAAATTCTGGTCAATTGAAATCAATATATTGATTTTGCTGTCTACACTAGCCCCAGAAAGTTAGGGGTCATATGGTCATAATGACGTTTAATCATCTTTCATTGTCCAAAATACCCACCTGTTCTGTATATTATGGGTGCCAAAGAAAGGGTAAGAACTAAGAAAGCTAAAGCCACCCTACCTAAACCTTACTAAGAAGTGATTGCGTTTATAATTTTGTAACTTGGTATCATGGTACGGAGAACATAGCTTCAAAGGAATCATCTTTCTTGTTCCTCAGGCTCTGATAGACTATAGGATTTGCTGGTGGTGATTACAAATCACAGGCGTGTATGTAACGTGTTCTTTTCTCCCTTGATTTTTTTTTTTTCATTTCTTATATCATCATGAAAGAACTATAACTGATATATCTAACTAGTAAAACAAAAAACTATATTAGTTTTCTGCTTGTCAAATATAAATACATGTAAAAGTGACGAGGTTAAGATCCTTTGCTGGAAAGTTATAAATATTTGCATTTTTATTAGGAAGTCAGGAACCGTAAGTGTGTATAACCTGCAACTATGATTGAAATGCAGTTATCATGGTTCTTTTTCCATCTTTTGTGAATGGATTGGCGAGAACCGTGTCAATGAAAAAAGACAAGAATTGTCAAAAGGAAGATGGAAGGAAAGCTGTGGAAGAATTGGCAAAGGAAGCAAGGAAGAATGAATTGTTATTGAGTTCATCTGGAGTTATTAAGTCAACCAAGGCCAACAATTTTGTTTCTGTGTTCACCAGTAGGGGCCAAAAAGGAGTCAATCAGGATCGTATTCTTGTTTGGGAGGTAAGCCAACACTTTTTTTTAGCCTAATTAGAAGTTATCATATACTCTACTTGGACATAAGTTTAGAAGAATTTATGAAAAAAAATTTACTAAGAAAAGTTCTTTATTTTTAATAGAGAAACTTTAAAAACTTCTTATAATTTTGTATCCATGCATGTTTTTAGTGTAGAAATTTTCGTAATGTTATACTTTGTTGGCCGTTAATGATGCTAGGAATTTGGTTGCCAACAAGACACGATGTTCTGTGGAGTTTTTGATGGGCATGGCCCATGGGGACACTTTGTAGCCAAAAGGGTCAGAAAACTAGTACCAGCCTTTTTGCTACGCAACTGGCAAGAAAATCTGGCTGCAACATCACTTGACCTGGATTTTAAGATAGAAGCAGACAAGAATATGCATAGATTGGACATGTGGAAGCAATCCTACATAAAGACTTGTGTTGCTGTTGATCAGGATCTGAAGCAGCACACTGGGATTAATTCCTTCCTAAGTGGCACTACAGCTTTGACAATTATCAAACAGGTTATCTTATAGTCGTCTTATCTGCTTTCAAGTTTAGACATATTTGATTTATCTGTTAATTTTTTGGGCAACACGTTTCCAACTTCACACATTTTTGGCAATGCATATCATCATGCTTTTAGGAGGATATGGTTAACGAAAGATTTATTTTCTAGCTAAGATTTGATAATAATTGTTGGACAAATTTTGGGTTTAATGAGCATATTAAAATTCATCATCTGAAGAGTTGAGAAGACGGAGATTGCAATTTGACATCTTTGAAGTTAAAACTGAAACAAAGAACTTCAAAAAAGTAGTTGTTTGAAAGTTTGAAACTCCTTCCAAACTTAATAGTACTTGAGTTTATTGTCCCATATCAATTAGTCAAAGATGATAGGAAGAGAGAGATTAAGATATGTAACTTATTGTTAAAAGGGGATTCAATTAACTTTTTCTTGCAAGTAATTTTTTTCTCATTTCTCTTATAAAAATTAAGCTCCTTAACTTTTATGCTTTTTCTCCAAATATGTTTGATCTAATTTCTCCTTGTAAAGAGAAAAGAATTGAAACAAATGGATTTGAGGTAAACTTGTTTTCCAATGATTTGGGGTCGGGAACTTGTAAATAAATTAGATGTTATATGAATCGAGTGTATATATAATAGTTCCATACTTTCATTACACTGTTTAAATTATCACAACTTGAAACAAAGTCAATATTAGTAGAGGGTGATAAATATTTTCTTTTCTAAGAGGCTGTGTTTGAACTTGAAAAGACGAGCTCTAAAGTTTTTCTGTTTAATAAGGAAAAGAAAAATTAAAATCAATTATTGGTTTTCTAGCCTAGTCATTAACCAATAATAAAGACATAACATGACTTAAATTACTCTAATTACTCAATGTTAATGGTCATGCTCTCAACATGCAGTGTTATACTAGATCTCACTTTGATGTAATAGTCAGAAGTGTCCTGAAATGTTTGTCATTGGTGTTTCAGGGTGAATATCTTATTGTAGCAAACATGGGTGATTCTAGGGCTGTCTTGGCAACTACTTCAGACGATGGCACATCAATTCCACATCAGCTTACCACTGACTTCAAACCAAATTTACCACGTGAGATTTATCTCCCTTTCACACTTGCACAAGAAATGATTTTATTAGAGTAAACATTTATAAAATTGATTTTGAAGTTATGCCATTTGTGTTGTAAATGTTTTATTCTAAAAGCAAGTTAATAGTAAAATTCATAATAATTTTTTTTATTCAATACAAAACTTATTTAAATTTACTTCAAAATCAATTCCTTAATCTAAACATGTAAATATTAACCAAAATTAGGTTGATCAGAATTAGTTAATGTGTTCTTAGTTTATTTAAAACACGCAGAGTCTTGTTTTTGTTGATTTCAGAGGAAGTAGAGCGCATAACACAATCTAAAGGGCAGGTCTTTTGTTTGGAAGATGAACCAGGAGTGTACAGGGTCTGGATGCCAAATGGTAAAACACCAGGACTAGCAATATCTAGAGCTTTTGGAGATCACTGCATGAAGGAATTTGGAGTAATCTCTGTGCCAGATGTGACCCATAGAAAAATTACCCCCAGTGATCAATTTGTAATCTTGGCAACAGATGGGGTATACCTCTTTTGTGTTTAATGCAATGACTACTTTAGGGGCATGTTTTAATTTAACAGAAGTAAAAGGAAAAGTATTAAGAAAAGTAACAAAATTCGTCGTGGTACAGAAATACTTGAGTGGTGTAGTTTATATGTAAGGCATCTTTAAGTGTTTGTAATTACTTCTTTTGTGGTGTCTCAGGTGTGGGATGTTATATCTAATGAGGAAGCAGTGAAGATTGTTTCTGCAACACCGCATAAAGAAAAAGCAGCTCAAAGGCTCGTGAAATGTGCCATACATGAATGGAAACGCAAGAAAAGTGGCATTGCCATGGATGACATGTCAGCTATTTGTCTATTCTTTCACTCTTCCCCCACACATCGACCCCCAGCCATTAAAATTGTTGATTAAGAATGTTGGATGTTAAATAGTTCATTGTCTTTTCCTCTTAACACAAAAAATATATGTAGACTTGTATATAAACTTATCAATTAAAATGTCATTTGTAATTGAGTATGAAAGACTAAGTAAATCTATCTTCATAACCATGGGCACAAACATTTTGTCATGTGTCTGACATCAAAAACTTTCTTTGACTACTGTGATAATGCTGATCAGCATTAGAGGAACATCCTCAAACAATTTAAAGAAAACTTGCATCATTCCTCAGCCCTCAGACTTCTTCACGAGACAATGAAATATACAAGTACGTACCCAAATTGTGGGTCAATTGACTGAAAGATTAGATAACTTCTTATTGATAGAAATAAAATTTAATAGAGCACATAAAAAATAAATATTTAAATTTATCAATAAGATTAATAACAATAATATAATAAATACTTTAAAATTAAAAATAAAATAATTAGTAATAATTAATTAAACACAGAGTAAATTAAATCTGAGTTGGAACATACAAAATACTATTTTTAAAAAGAAAATGTTCCTACTGTACAGGTAATTTTGAGTCTTTCAAGATATGTTAACCTGTTAAATCGTTCAAGTGCAGCAAAAGATTCCCAAATTAAAAAACATCATTCTAAAAAATATATTTTAGTAATTGAAATAATTTTGAGGGAGAGATAAGTGAATTTGTTGTGTATCTTTTTCTTTTAACCTATATTATATATAGATGGAATCACTCGTACTTGTTCTAAAAAGAACTTTTAAAGCTTGGACCCCAAGTGTGTTGATGCTTAACGTGCAACACATTCTTCGGAAAGTTAAAACGTTACTATGCTTTTGGTTAAAAGCATGCTGTTAGAAGGAATAGGAAAAATAAATAAATAAATAAAGAAACTTCTACGAATGTGCGTGGAAATTTTTACTTAAATAATATTTTTTAAAAGAAAAATTACAAAATTAACACCTGTGCAGGTTTATTTACCATAATAGAACCCTTTACTGTGCATGCTCAGAATTCGGTTCTCGGGGAACCGAATTCTGAGTTGTTTTAATATTTTTTTTTCGGGTTTGTGGGCAATTTTGGGCAAATTTTGGAAGTGGAACGGCCCGTTCCGGAAGCAGTACGGGCCGTTCTGCTTAAACACACAGAGTCTTTTTTTTTTTAAATTAAAACGGGCCAAGAACGGGCCGTTCCAGGATTAAGTTTTAACGGAAAAATTGACCCCTGAAACGGCCCGTTTGAAAGAATTATTCTAGTTATTTTTTTTAACCTGGAACAGGCCGTTCTTGTTTTAGAACAGACCGTTTCAAAATAGAAATTTAAACATTTTTTTGAATCTGGAACGACCTTGGAACGGCCCATTCCATGAGCTGTTTTTACGAATTAGAACGTGGTTTGGAACGGGCCGTTCTGGTTTTGGAACGGCCCGTTCTGGGCAAACAGTGAAAACGCTGGTCTTCCTATAAATAGGCCCTCTCCCCTTCATTATTTCCACACGATTTCAGCTCAGTTTCACTCCTTTATTCCTTCCCTGTACTGCTTCTAAATCACCTTCATAGTAAGAAATTCTTTTTTTGGTTCAATTTTCATTAACCAAATATAAAAAATGTTATTGTGGAAGCAAAATGAGCATAGGTCTGCCTTCATTGGTAGAACGGTAAGTTTAGCACTTTCGTTATTTACTTTAAATTTCAATGAACTTGTAATAAATTAGTACTAATTTTGGTAATTATTGCAGGAGACTGAGAATATTATTTGTTCTTACTGTCATTCAATGCCAGAACCCCACCCTCTAATTGTTCCTATACTAGAGGAAGTTGGTTTTTCTGGGGTTGCAAACCTCAGACATCTGAAAGTGGATCACGCATTAATCACAGCTTTGGTTGAAAGATGGAGACCTGAGACTCATACCTTCCATTTTCCAACTGGAGAGTGCACCATAACACTGGAGGATGTTGCACTTCAACTTGGCCTAAGAGTTGATGGTTTACCAGTCATTGGCCCAACATTATATGACTGGGAGGAAATGTGCTCCACCTATCTCGGAATCATGCCAGTTAAAGGTGAGTCACTAATTGGCTCTATGATTAAGTTAAAGTGGTTAAGAGAAAATATGTTAGAATTACCAGAGGAACCATCTCAAGAACAACTTCATGCACATTGTAGATCATATATATTAGGTTTAATAGGAGGTGTTTTGATGCCTGACAAAACAGGCAATAAGGTACATCTTATGTATTTATCTTTATTAATAAATCTTAGAAGAACAAGACAATATAGTTGGGGGTCGGCTTGTTTGGCTATGTTATATAGGGAAATGTGTAGAGCTACAAATGTTAGCAGCAAAACAATGGGTGGTTGTGCATCTTTGTTACAGTCTTGGGCATGGTATCGCATGCCATATATTGCGCCTATTTCAAGGATACCATCAACATTCCCTCTAGTCTGTAAATGGAGCGGAGACAGAGTTTTAAACTTTCAAAATGTACCTCATAATGATGTTGTTGGATATAGATCAAGGTTTGATCACATTCAAAATGATCAGATAACTATTTAAAATGAAAGTTTTATTATTATTTTTTATTTTCTTTTGTTTAGCATATTATGTTAACTAAAAAAGTTTAATTTATTTGTATTTTTTATGGGCTCCATATGCAGTGTTGCAAACAGCAATACCGATGCAAGCATATAGAGATGCTCAGTTATGGACATCATGTACTTCCATTATTTGTTTTGCAATTGTTGAATGGCACCAATCTGATAAAGTGAAATTGCAATTTCGTCTCTTCTAGGATGTCCCTTCTCCACCGAATAATTTGGATAACCTGCACAACATTGACATGTGGGGAAGACAAGATGAAAATTGGGTTACAAGACATGCTCAATGGATCGACATATGGAACAATAGACGTGAGCACACATTGATGGGTCATCCAATGCAAGGCCCAGTGTTTCACACACGAGAATACATGGAATGGTACATGGCCAATTCCATCTATTTTTTATCTGTGCCACGATTACTACAAGATCCAAGGACCCATCAACAACGAAGGACTTCCACAACATTTGAGACTGGTGGAACTTCCATGCGGTCACATGAAGAGACTCATCAGCATGTATCAAATCGTCACTACGTCACTCCTGAAGAAAACATAATTGACAGACGACATTCATTTGCAACAACTTCAGAGGATTTTTTAACAAATTTATTTGGAGTAGATTATAGAACTCCATCTTCAGCACAATCATACATGCGATCTCTTTACCGACCAGAATTCGGTAATGGACCTGGAAGTTCTTCAGCACCATTTCAACATCCGGTGGTTGATGATGAACCAAATCCTTCTGAGCAACAACCTCCACGACATAATCCAGTGCGTAATAGACCTCGCCCTCGTTGTGGAACTGAACACCATTACGGAGATTGAAAAATGTATGTAAATCACTCCATGTTAATGTTATTGTTTTTTTATTTTAATGTACTATGTGTCTTTATGAATGTAATATGAATTTTAATGTTATGCATTTTTACATTTAATGCACTAAGAAGGTTATAAACTATTATAATTATAAGTATTGTAGCGAACATAATATACGATTTCAACACAAACACAACGTAGTATTCGACACTAACACCAAGTAATTAACTTTAATATTACATAACTAAATAAATTTATTACAACTGATTACAACAATAATGATCAATGGTGGCGGGAACTACATCCATGACTAATATTCGGACATGTCTTCCTAGTGTGACTAGGAGTGTGACAATAAGAACAATTTTTTACATGACTATGTTGTTCTCTAATATCCATCTCTGTTCTAATCTTGGTGGACTTTGGTCGACCCTTCGAAGTTCTCTTCAGTTCTGGATTTGGCCACAAAGTTGGACCAGTGTAAGTAGGCCAATAATCTTCATGTCGAAGCTCTCCAAACTGTCCTTCGTATACCTTTGCAACTTGTTGTAAGGTATATATGGGAGATATGTAGCTTTCATAGTCATGATGTGCATGTAAGCATGAAGCAAGCACATGTGAGCAAGGGATATGAACTTTCTGGAACTTGCCACAATCACACCACAATTCATCAAGCCTTACTGCAAATCTCCCAGCTGGTCGAACTTCTCTGGAATGTTACATTTCTTCCACTAGAAATCTACTGCTTGATCTGTCAATGGTGATAACTCTATGAGTATTTGCCTTAGACTGTGCATCTTGAATAGTTTTATTTGCAATTTCCGAGTAAACATGTCCAGCATTAATCATTGCATCCACTTCCCTACCTCTTTGAACGAAAAACTTGTTGCAATGAATGTATGTGGCCATTACCATGGAACAAATTGGCAAATTTCGTGTTTTCTTCAATACGAAATTAATTGACTCAGCTAGGTTTGTTATCATGTGTCCTCAACGTCGTCCATTGTCCCATGTTAATGTCCATTTTTCCCTAGGAATGTTGTCTAACCATTGAGCTGCTTCAACATTAGTATCTCTTACTATGTTGTAATAGTAAAAGAATCTAGGTTCAATCATTCCGTAGGCTGCAAAAAAATAAATTATTAAATAATGAAAAGTAATAATCAAATGCTTTTAAAAAAATAATGATAAACTTACCCATATTGACGACATCCTTCTTCAGTGCTGCATTTTTGAATCGTCGCATGAAATTTTGTGCAATATGTCGAATACAATAGACATGGACAGAATTGTTTTCCGTCCAGCCACTTCCATTTCTTGAGTATGCACTTCGAATAGCTTCATGACGATCAGAAATAAGGCACAACCCATCTTGCGGTGTTACATACCGCCTCAAGTTCTTCAGAAAAAAAAACCATGCATCACTAGTTTCACCTTCAACAACAGCAAATGCAATAGGAATTATGTTGTTGCGACCATCTTGCGCAACTGCGACCAATAGTGTACCTTTGTATCTCCCATATAAAAATGTACCATCCACTTGTACAATTGGTTTGCAGAAGGCAAAACCATCAATGCATGGTTTAAAGGTCCAAAATAACCTTTTGAAGATAACACTCCCCTCGTCCAATAATTCACCTTGGTAAGCCGGTTGCGTATTTAATTTCCAAATAAAACCTGGAACATACATTTGCATTGCTTGCAACATACCTGGTAACTTGTTGTACGACTCCTCCCAGTTTCCAAAGATATTCTCAATGACATGTTGCTTGGCCAACCATCCCTTTTTGTAACTAATTGTATAACCCATGGTGGACTTGATATGGGCTATGATGGTTGAAATGGATGCCGATGGATCAACCTCAATAATTTCACCAATGCTTTGAGCAATCATTTGTGATCCCAATTTATTATGATCTTGGGAGATAAGTGGGGAAACACATGTGTGGGGCCCCTCAACGATCATGATTTCCCAATGTTGTTCCCTGATGCGCAATATACCACGACATCTCCAGGCACAGTCGTGGTGAACGCATTCCATAACAAGCCTACTACTGCTTGAGTGTTTAACCTTGTAAATGCAATGGTTGACAATGTGAAATCTATTTATGGCGTCCTGTATTTGTTCTTTTGTTTGGAAGCGTTGGCCAACAAATAATGTTCCATGTGGATACACAACCATATCACGCTCCAACAAATGGCTATACTCAGTGTCTTGTTGGATTTCATTGGGAAACTCTAAAAAGTGTGGAGGTGGGTTGTATATGGCTACTGGTTGTAATGGTGGATTATTTGGAATTGGGAGGGTTTCTTCATCATCATCTTCATGTGCAGAGAGAATTTCGTCTTTGTCCTCGCTAAAAGGATCAAAGACATTTTTTGTTGGGAGACCAACAACAACATGATCTTCAATGTTGGTTTGAACATTGGGTTGAGAAGCAGAAGGTGTAGCTTGCTCAAATGGCTGAGAAGGTATTTGATTAAGGTCCATGATTGGACCAGTTAAAAGCTGTGTGTATGACTCAATGTCGTAGTTGGAGGGGATATCATAAGAAGGGCCAGATGGGTTAGTGTTCTGGTAACTTTGATAAATTTCATAAGGTGAACGTGAAGGTGAAACTTGTGGTGCATGTGATTCAACTGTAGTAAATGTAGCATATAATTCAATACCTGATTGAAGTTGATTAGAATCGTGAACATTAAAAAGTGCCTCAACGTCTTCATCATTCGTCAACTCAACACAGGTATAGTTACTAACCCCTAGGCCAAGTCTAATAGGGTACCGAAAATGTATGCTAGCCACCCTCTCAGAATCTTGTCGATGTAGCTTTGTGTGGATGACTCTTTGAAGCCTTTCTAGAGTAATTCCTCTCTTGATACGAACTAATTTTGCAGATGGAGAGGAGAAGGTGATTCCTTCATTCGAACATTGGCTAATGGAACCATCAGAATGAACAATAACGTAGATTGAAGAAGCCATTTTATGAAAGGTTTAAAAGAAATGAACGTGATTCTAAGAAAGTGATTCAAAAGGGGTAGACGGAAGGAATAAAGGAGAGAAGGTAAGCTGAAATTGTGTGGAAATAATGAAGGGTAGAGGGCCTATTTATAGGAAAACCAGCGTTTTCACTATTTGCCCAGAACGGCCCGTTCCAAACCACGTTCTAATTCGTAAAAACAGCTCCTGGAATGGCCCGTTCCAAAGCCGTTCCAGATTCAAAAAAATGTTTAAATTTCTATTTTGGAACGGACTGTTTTAAAACAAGAACGGCCCGTTCCAGGTATAAAAAAAAAGGCTAAAAACCTAATTTTGTCCCTTATAATCTTTTTTTGTTTCAATTTAGTCCCTCATTAATTTTTCCTCTCAATTTAGTCCCAAACTAATTAATTAGTTTCAATTTAGTCCCAAATTAATTAATTAGTTTCAATGTGGGACTTCCGTCCAAATTATTTAAACGGAGTTAACTTTTGGCCACGTGGATGCCACGTAGATGCATACGTGGCATCCACGTGGATGAGAATTTTTTTGAAAACACCTAGACCGGAACGGCCCGTTCTGAAACCGGAACGGACCATTCTGGTTGCAAAATTAAAACACCATCATTGGCGCAGAACGGGCCGTTCTGTTTTCAGAACGGGCCGTTCTGGATTCAAAACGGGCCGTTCTGGATTCAGAACGGCCCATTCCAAAACTGTGAATAAAATATTCTTTGCTTAATTGTGTTTTTGATATTATAATTATGCAATTTTGATCTCTAAAGTTTTAATTGAGTAATTTCAGTCCTTAAAAGATCATAGTTGTGTAATTTTAATCTCACAATTTTTAATTGAACAATTTTAATCTCTTAAATATCATAATTGTTCAATTTTAGTCTTTCTCATTAAAAATTTAATAATTTTATAATTTTAATATATATATATATATATTGTTTTAAAACTATATAATTGTTTGTTTATTTAAATTAACGTATATTAATTTTTTTTAATGTATCAAATGATATATATTTACTATTACTAAATAAATAAAATTTATATATTATTAGTATTTTAATATTACTGATAAATTAATATCAATAATATTTTTACTATATTTATAAATAAACTAATAATTTGATAAATATAACTTAATATATATTAATATACTTTTACAAAAATATAAATATATAAGATCAGATATATATTTCTAATTAATATACTTATATTTTTGTAAAAGTATATTAATATATAACAAGTTATATTTATCAAATTATTAGTTTATCTATAAATATATTAATAATATTATTGATATAATATCGAAAATTATAATATACGTTAATTTGAATAGATAAATAATTATTTAATTTTAAAACATTATATATATATATATATATATATATTAAAATTATTAATTTTTAATGGGAGAAACAAAAATCATACTATTATGATATTCGAGGGACTAAAATTGTTCAATTAAAAATTGAAGGACCAAAATCGCGCAATTGTAATTCTTTAAGGACTAAAATTATGCAATTAAAATCTTGGAGATCACAAAACTGCACAATTGTAATACTTGAGAGATAAAAAATGCAATTAAACCAATATTCTTGATTAATTTTATTAAAAAATATAATAATTTTGAAAAATATTTTTTTATGGTAAAAATTTTAAAATTACTTATTTTTATAAAATATAATTATCTTATAAATAGAGTAATAATTTTTTCTTTCTCTTTCTGTTTGAAGAAATATTTAAATATCACTTTATAATTTTTTGCAACTTATTTAAGATTAAAAGAATAAAATGATAAAAATTAATAAAATAAACATAATAAAATAAAATATAAAAAAATATTAATATATTTATTTTATTAGATATAATAACATAATTAAAATATAATTAATAATATATATTTTATAAAATTATTAATATTTTATATATAAATAAAATAAAATAAAACCGGAACGGCCTGTTCTGAAACCGGAACGGGCCGTTCTGGTTGCATTTTCGTTGTGTTAATTTTGCACCTGGAACGGGCCGTTCCGGATGCAAAATTAACACACCAAAAGTGCACCCAGAACGGCCCGTTCCGGTTTCAGAACGGGCCGTTCTGGGTCCAAGTGTTTTAAAAAAAATTCTCATCCACGTGGCATCCACGTATGCATCTACATGGCGTCCACGTGACCAAAAGTTAACACCGTTAAAGCAATTTGGACGGAAAATCCCACATTGAAACCAATTAATTAATTTGGGACTAAATTGAAACTAATTAATTAGTTTGGGACCAAATTGAGACCAAAAATTAACGAGAAACTAAATTGAAATAAAAAAAGATTATAAGGGACCAAATTAGGTTTTTAGCAAAAAAAAAAACTAAAATAATTCTTTCAAACGGGCTGTTTCAGGGGTCAATTTTTTCGTTAAAACTTAATCCTGGAACGGCCCGTTCTTGGCCCGTTTTAATTTCAAAAAAAAGTCTTTGTGTATTTAAGTAGAACGACCCGTACTGCTTCCAGAATGGGCCGTTCCACTTCCAAAATTTGCCCAAAATTACCCACAAACCCGGAAGAAAAAAAAATATTAAAACAACTCAGAATTCGGTTCTCGGGGAACCGAATTCTGAGAAGAAAAAACAAAAAAAAAATAGAATTTGAAGCTCAGAATTCGGTTCCCCGGGAACCGAATTCTGAGCATGCACAGTAAAGAGTTCTATTCTGGTAAATAAACCTGCACAGGTGTTAATTTTGTAATTTTTATTTTAAAAAATATTATTTAGGTAAAAATTTCATGTGCGTGAGAGAGAATAAGGGTTATAAAAAACCTACACTATTATATATATATATATATATAACTTAAACATTTTAATGGAGCATGATATATTATATTTTTAGTACAAGAAACCTTCAAGATTTGAACCTTATACCTAGTGCATATGAACTTTCATATGAGAAAGTATGGAGACATAATTATCTTGAACCATATCCCTTTGACCAAATTTTAGAACATAAGACGTATAATAAAGGTGTTCACTTAAATTCTAATTAGTGGAGCACATTACAACCTTGCACATGTATGTTGTTTCGTGAGTGTCATTTAGAGATTGCCCATATCTCACATTAGCGGCCACACCACCACATTCGCTAGGTGAACCTTTCCAAGGGTAGTATGTGACACTCATCCCTACAATAATTGTCATTGGATTCATTAATAGATATTTTTTAATTTTAACACAATAAATATAAATATTTAAATACATCAACCTTATTACTATCACGGTTTACTTTAGAGTACACCTCACCATAAGAATGGAACATGCAATAATTTTGTAGTTTACAATGGTCTACTTAGTTAACAAACAATTTTGTTATTACCGATTGAACTTCATTCATGGGATCGCTATTTATGTGGGGACGGGTGTCCATTGTTGCAATTAGTTGATGGACTTTAGTCTCATTCCCCTCAACGATTTAAGTACTTGTTGATGTGTCAACCCTTTTGTGAGTGGATTCGCAATATTATTTTTAGACCCGATCAAATCAACATAAATAACACCATTAGTTATCAAATTTCTGATAGATTTGTATCTTATTCTCAAATGCTTTCTTTTTTCATTAAAGTTTTTGCTAGTAACTTTAACAATAACAACTTGACTATCACAATGCATTGAGATTGGAGGTATAGGTTTATTTAACAAAGGGTAAATCATATAATAATTTTTTAATAAATTCGGCCTCACTATTTGTAGTATCTAAGGTAATTATTTCAGCTTCCATCGTAGAACAAGAAATAATAGTTTGTTTTGCAGATTTCCAAGCTATTGCACCTCCGGCTAAAGTAAAGACATAACCACTAGTAAATTTAGTTTCATCAAAGTCAGAAATCCAATTTGCATCACTAAAACCTTCAATTATCGCAGGATAACATGCATAGTGAATGCCATAATTAATAGTTCCTTTAAGATATTTAAATAACCTTCCTAGAGCAAGCGAATGTAAATGATCAGGATTATGAATATATCTTCCTAATCTACCAACAACATATGCAATGTCCGGTCTAGAGTAATTAGACAAATACAACAAGGAAACAGTACTTTGAGAGTATTTAAGAGGAGAGACACATTCACCAATATTTTTCTTCAATTTTATATTAAAATAAAATAGGGTAGAAACTGGTTTCACATTAAAATAATTAAACTTTTTTAACAGTTTTTCAATATAATGTGATTGTGTTAAAACAATACCATCATGATTCTTAATTAACTTAATACCTAAAATAAATAGCAACAAGGCCAAGATCCTTTGTTTCAAAATTACTAACACAAGAAAGAATTCACATCATTTATAACACGTGGATTACTACCAAAGATTAAAATATCACCCACATATAGACATAAAATAACACATGAATTATCATCAAATTGTTTCACATAAACACATTTATCACTATTATTAAATTGAAACCCATATGATGAAACACCTTGATCAATTTTATCATGCCATTATTTAGGTGCCTGTTTTAAACCATACAAGGATTTAACAAGCTTGCAAATATTTTCCATTATAGGTTCTATAAAACCTTCAAGTTGATTCATGTAAATTTATTTTTCCATGTCACCATTTAAGAAGACAGTTTTTTACATCCATTTGATGAATTTTCAAATTAAAAACACAAACAAGTGCAATTAAAACTCTAATAGTAGTAAATTTAGAAACAGAAGAATATGTATAAAAGAAATCTACACCTTCTACTTGTTTATAACCAATAACAACAAATCTTGCCTTAAACTTATCTATAGAGCCATCCGTTCTTAATTTTTTCTGAAAAACTCATTTACGACCTATACTTTGCAGTCAGGAGGAAGGTCCGTCAAAAACCAAATTTCATTGATTTTAAGAGAATCTATTTCATCGTTGATGACTTCTTTTCAAAAAGGTGCATCAACAAATCTCATGGCTTTCCTATAAGTTTTAGGATCATTTTCAATAAGAAAGAATAAAATTTAGG